GCCGTCTGCTTTACTACTGCAGATGATGGATCGCTGTGTCACACTCACAGCGTAGCGCTTGGTCTCGCCACTCATGCTTTTTCTCCTGTTAACGTCACCGGTTCCTCCCTCTGCTGGCAGCTGAAGACAGTCAAGGTCACTCTGAACGAACACATGCTGCTGCTGCTGCTCCCGTCTCTACCTCCTTCACTCTAATCACTCTGCCTCTTTACTCCCTCTAGGCAACAGATTAATCTCTGAAAAATAATTATTTTTTCTAACCCTAATAAACGGTGACCTCATATGTTTCACCGGTCGTCTGCTAAATGAGCTAGCGGGCGCAGGCACTAATCTAACATTTGAAACAAAGAAACCGATGGTGATAATGTTGCAGTGTAATTACAGAGGGGGTTGGTAGCCGTTTGAAGATGTTATGGGTTTGTGAGCATGTGCAAACACATGTTAGGTTGTGTCTTTGTGTTTTGTATATGTGTATGACAGACTGCCTTTACCTCAGTGGCGATGCTCTGGCTGGAGCCATTGTCCAATAAGAACTGCACCACGTCCAAGTGATTCTCCTGCGCTGCCATATACAGCGGAGTGAAGCCATTCTGCAGAGAAACAAAAGAAGAAATGATGCTGTTAATGTTTAAAGAATGACACATTCTAACAGATTCTCGATCTATGTGTCACAAGGATAGGGAATTTAAACATTAGAGGTAATTAATGAAACTTTACTAAGCCAAAAACAGCGCAAGGACACCGAAGCATGCTTTATTTTGAATATATTGATAAAGTGTTTGCATGCTTGTAGAAAAAAATTACTTCTATTAGTACCAAATAATAGTGTCTCAGTTAAATTCCAGTTATATAAAATAATGACCCTTACAGAAAGATGGATTTGTGATTGTCATTTCTCACCCCAAAGAAATTATCGTATATCGGAAAAAACAGAAATATGAATAAAATTCTGCATGTGGACTAAAAGATAGGGATGCACCGATACCGATACTGGTATCGGGTATCGGGGCCGATACTGTAAAATGTGTGTGTACTCATACTCGTAAACGTTAACCGATACCAACTTATTTCATTAATCAGAGAGTGGCTTGTCATTTCTGTTGTAGTTTTTTAGATTGGCCACTAGGGGGACATC